TGATATCTATGGCACTTGAATCTACATTTCCCACCAGTGATATTTCATTCATGTATTTCATAGATAGTTTTTAATCGTTGTAAAATAAGATCTGGAGAAATTTGATCCCTGTTTAATAAACCTACCTTTCCCTGGGCGGTGAAATTCTGTATAATTCATTCAAGAACATTCAAAAACCATTTTGCAAAGTGATGTCTTAATTGCCTGATCAACCTCTGGTATCTGGGCCAAGTCTGGCCCCCCAAATCGAATTCTACACAATTTTTTCCCCCCCTGGAATCAAGAAATCCCTGTTCTAGTATTTGCCACATTTATCTTGGGGACAGCCAGCTTCCGAATGACAATCCTGTGGAAAACGTCTGTGGACCCCTAGTTGTTCAGTTTTCAGTGTGTTTGTGTATTTAAACAGGTTATAGCTGGTGCATTCAATACTTTTTTTTGGTGAATTTGTATACCAAAGAAGAGGTTTGGATTTAATTTATATAAAGATTGTAGATACAAGGAGAAATTCAAAAGCATTAACTTCTAAGTAATATTATCTTCCAAAAAGAAATAATTTTCGTTAATGTTGCACTATTATGTTTCTTTTTGTGTTGTTGTGATTTGCATTAGTTTATAAAAGTTGGTGGCCATTCGATTTTGTGTCATTTATAATTAACATGCATAAAATAAAGAGGCAGAGCTGTTTGTAATTGTTTTAATTTAATGAATTTTGTAGGGATTCCCCCGTTGTGTATATATTTGAAAATAAATGTACTTATAGTCTTCTTGACAGGTGGCGTTTTCAAAGAATATTTTCATAAACTCCACGTTCTCTTCGAATACTAGATCTTTAGATTAAAATTTAATTAAATTTAAATTTAAATCTAGTTAAAATAAATAATTTTTTTAATGGAAATGCCATTAAGTTTTCCAAAGTATTTTTAGCTGGGGTTGCCCTTTATCATACTTCCAAGGGTGTCTACGGTGTCCTGCTGTTGATCCCTATGTAGTTCAACATGTATGTCCTACAAGTAATATGCCTACATCAATTTTATACCCGATTGAAAATATTGGTAAATTTTTAATATAAACAAAACCTTAGTCTAGTTTTATTTATTTTAGGATGAAACAAATGTTTTCATACCTTGTAAAGTTGTTTGCTTTTCTGCAGCATGCAGTTTCATAGGAAAAATACTGGTGTGTTTACACTATGTTTCTCCTGTTGTTGTAAACTGGCATATGCATACACTATATCACGTTTTATCAATATGTCGATAAGAATTTAAGTACTTGGTTTCTATAAGATTTCGATTAACCCCATGTTTATTGTCTCATTCCCCCCCCCCACCCCCCTATTTTTTAAGATCAGATAGATTCTAGTGGTTCTCAACCTGTGGGTCACCACCCATTTGGTGGTGGAACGTCCCTTTCACAGGGGCCACCAAAGACCATCGGAAAACACATATTTCCGATGGTCTTAGGAACCGAGATACTGTTCCTCTATCCGTCTCCAGGCGGGCCCTCCCACATGCAGTTACGCCCACATACAAGTACCTGGCATGAAGACTGTTACCCATGCTACACCATGCTTCAAGACAAAATTTCATTGATTTGTCATTAGAAATATTCCACAATATAGAATTATATATTGTTTTTGATTCATTTTGCTTTAATTATGTTCAATTTGTAACAATGAAAATATATCCTGAATATCAGGTATTTACATGATGATTCATAACAGTAGCAAAATTAACAGTTTTGAAGTAACAACAAAAATAATTTTATGGTTGGGGCTCACTGTATTAAAGGGTCGCGGCATGAGGCAGGTTGAGAACCACTGCTCTAATGTTTCTGCCTCGATATTGCTGAGTTCTTTCACTGAATTCCAACATGAATTTTGAGTCCAGTAGGACTAAATTCTTAAGGCCCTACCATATCGCTGTTACCTTGTGAATGTTGTTTGACCTCTTAGCCTTTTTCTATAAATTCATTTGGGTTATAAAGGTTCTATTTAGTTAAACTTGTATGTTGATTCCTTTTTATTTTACTCGTTGAAATTAGCAGTATAAGGGGCATTCAGGAGGTTTGTCGTAATGGTAATAAAAGATAGTACAATATTCCCAAGGACTTTTTGAAAATTGCTTTATATGTATTTGTCATGATATTCCTAGAACAAAAGCGTATTGTAATTGTGTGAACTTTATAATTTTAAATGCTCTTCATGAGTAGGCTCTTGATGGAGTTTAAGACTTTGGAATTGGTAATGTTTAATATTCTTCCTTAAGCCCTATTTGTCAATTCACTAGGAATAGCACATTTTTGACGTTTTGTGCTTTATGAATCTCAGTATATAACAAACTTTACGCCTATGTGACCTATTCCAGGAGTTTGATTGAGTATCCACAGTAGTCTTAAACTTTTTATCTTGTTCCTGTGATTGGGTGGCTAAGACATAGTTTCCCATGGGGTTCTTTATGCAAATGTGCACATTGTATGTTAGCCAACTAGGCTTTTGCAGATGTGAGCGACATTTTTATATGCTTATTTAAATATATTTTTGCTATTGAATGATTTCTGATATGTGCAAGTAATTTCTTATTTAGTGTACTTTTTGTTATAATCAGTGTTTTATTTTCTCAAGTTTCAGATGATTATATCACTATTAAATGTATAATATTAATTACATTCATAAATACCATTCATTGCCTGGTGGTTTTATGTAATGGGTAAAAACAGTCTCACATACAGTGATTCTTTAACCGTATTATACTTTTTGGTGTTGGAACATGTACTGGATGGTTATGTAATATGTAGTGTTATTTTTTTTTTAATGTTAGGTTAATTTACAGGCTTCTGGATTTAATCTTTTCAACATTCAGATTGGATAATTTAGCAAAGTGAGCATGAACATTGGAATGATTTTCTTTTTTTTTATTAAACATTTTATTAGGGGCTCATACAACTGTTATCACAATCCATACACACATCAATTGTGTAAAGCGCATTTGTACATCATTCTCAAAACATTTTCTCTCCACTTAAACCCCCGACATTAGGTCCTCATTTTTCCCCTCCCTCCCCGCTGCCCCCTCCCTCATGAGCCCTTGATAGTTTATAAATTGGTATTTGGAATGATTTTCTATAAAATGAGACTTTGTTATTCAGACATTATTTTGGGGGAGCTGTGCCCTTTAGAATTTAACAATACACACTGATTCTGCAATTGTGGACAGAGGGACTTCTTGCTCTGTCTGAGATACAGCTATAGAACAACAGTATTTCTTCCCTAAATTAAAGCTGCAGGCATAACGGCGTAGTTCTCATGTATACCAGAATGACCTGGAGGACTCACTGCTCAATTGACTGCAGGGTCCTTTCCCTAGTTGGGACCACCCAATATGCATCTCTAATAACTTCCCATATTATGCTGCTATTTATGATTCTGGTGCATTTGTTGAGACAGTTCATAACATCACCAAATATTTTCAGTTA